GGGGGAGGAATGTCCTAGATTCGTCTACGGGATATCTTAATATATTGTTACTATATAGCTGATATTCCGTGCACTTTGTTGCCCGTTGAAAATGCCAATCTATATAGGTATGAGACTCGCTTGTTATAATGCGAGCACTGAGCAGTATATTATCAGGTAGGATATTATATTATATTATATTATTATCATCGTACTCCACGCTAGGTGTATACTCTCTACTGATAGTTATTTTTATTTTATTTTTGATTTTGACTGTGGATACGCCGATGAGCGGCTATAAATGCAATTCAGCCATCTTAGTAGGCAATGTGTGAAAATTCGATTACCTATTTTTCACCAATAACTAATATAACACATTAGCTTGGATATTCAAATAAAATGAATAGTTTTTTTTTTTGGCTAAGCTAAATAATTATAATAATTGTTTATTTGTTTATTATTCCACGTCGATATCCACCTGCTAAGAAGCATCTGTGGTTGTCGAGTTTGATTGTTATTTATTTTCAGCCAGCGACTACTTCTTACTAAAAAAAGGTATATAGGTATACAATTTACACGTTTATTTTAATAAATAATAACTAATTATTTATTAACTTTATCGGACTAAATTTAAGCCTAAAACCTTCTCTATGATGTCCTCTTTAATTTAAAAAAAACGACCATACAATAAGTAGTTTTCTTGGTTAGCGCGTTCGTAGAAAATCCCTTACAATTTTATATATAATAGTATAGATATAGATTATTTATCATTAGAGGTCGGATTTTTATGATTTTACGTATTTGTTTCTAGTCCATGCAGTTAAAAGGGAGTGAGAAATCTTTACGAATCATGAAACACAGAATTCACATGAAAAAATGTATTTTGAATAAAAAAGCATATTTTAAGGGTTCTCGAATATTTAACACGTTAGAGAATATTTGAGAATATTTTGGTAATATAATAATATAATGAACCTATTTCACGTATATCAGCAATCAGCACTTTGATAAATACATTGTTCACTAGATGATTTATTTCTGGGTTTTAATAAAAATAAATCTCCAGGTATTCCTTCTTATCGATTGCGATAGCACATCGGTTATTTCGTTAGCTGTCACGACTATCCATCGAACAACATATACCTAGTTATTAATTATTATTGGAAAATTAATTTGATTAAATATAATAAAAAATAAATTTAAACTGAATTTTTTTTTAATATTAAAATAATATTTTGCATATTTAAGGACATTTTAGTAACATCGTGTATCTGGTATTTTAAAAGAATATTAAGAGAATATATTGCCTATTTTATGTGACATAAAAACATCATATTTTAAGGATTTCAAGAGAATATAAATCCGAGTAATCCGACCTCTACTTATCATTAATACGGTAGCCAGTAAGTTGAATTAATATTATTCTTAAATTATCAGTGATGCTGGAAAAATATTATTTATACTTATATGAAATTGGTCTGTTTTGGAACCGTATTACAACAAGCTAATTTTTGGGGTTTTCTTACGAATTTTGTCAACATTCTAAATTCAAACGCGCATAATAAATGTCCACTAACAAAAGCTTACGAGGAACCTTGTATTACATTTTCAAGTTTTTTGAACAATTTTTATATTGACAGTAGTTTAAAAAAAACAAGTAATAATCGAAATTTTATATGCTTATAAATAGTTCAACACGGGTAAAAATATTTTGAAAATTGTATGATGTATAGAAAATGCTAACATAAACATTCAGTCAAAAGGTCATGTATTTATTTTCATTTTTTTTAAAGTTACACTAAAAATCAAAATCGATTTTTTCGAAAACTGGTTTTGAGTAAAATTTGTTTTTCCTGTCGCTTTTGAAAACTATTGGGAACCATGTTAGCATTTTCTATACATCATATAAAATTTCAAAATATTTCGACTCGTTTTGAGCTGTTATAAATGTATAAATACAGTTATTTTTTACAGATATTTTAAGTTCAAATTTGGACAAAATTGCATATTAAGACAAAGAATAACGATTTTAATAATTTTTTTGTAATTCGGTTCCAAAACCGCCCAATTTTACATAAGTATAAATAATATTTTTCCAGCATCACTGATTATTGAAGAATAATGTTACAGTAGATGCTGCTTATTAGGAATATTGATAATTGATACAAACGCGTTATTGAAACAAAATGTCTCGGGACGGATCGTAATAAATTAGGCTAAGGTCAGTTGACATATACACCGGTTATCCTACGATAACCAATGTACACACGTTAATCTTTCTTTGCTGTCGTTCATCGGCGTAACTAGGGGGGGCTAGGGGGCTTAGCCCGTCTATAGGTGTATATAGCCCTCTATAATATATATTGTACTTATTTTATTATTTACATTTTGTTTTTAATGATGAGTTTATACTTAATATTTCATTATTTATTTTTAATTTTGATTTTAGAGGACAGTTACGCTTTAGGAGTGGGGCCTCCAAAGTTATTTTGAACATTTGTTTTCTAAGACTCTAGCCTCTGTAACTATTAAATTCTAGTTACGCCTATGCTGTCGTTACGTTTGTTTTTATTGACGTCGACACACACCTCGATGTGGCAAAGATTCAAACTGAAGAAGAGATTTGTAATGTGGTAATGAATTCTGAAACGATTGAACAGGCCAATACTGTTGATGAAGAAGAAAACATCGAGACATCCCTAGCACCCCCATTAAACAAGGAAATTGTAGAAGCTCAATTGTAAGTGTCTTCAGGAGAGCAGTCCAGCACCGTGCAGCGGGTGAAATAAGTTTTAAGCAGTATTACTCGTATGAAAATATGGTCATGGAGTTACTTGACGCTAAAAAACAAACTTCGATTGATAAATATTTTAAATAATATAGTAAAATATATACATTTGTACATATAGTGTTAGCCTCTATTTCTATTGACTATTTGACTAGGTATTAATAATATACATACATACATATAGTACATCTTATATGTTATTACTTATCTTTAACTGTTTTTCCTTAGCCTTAACGCTTAGTATTATATCAACTATATTATATACCTATAGTTATTAACTTATTAGTCAACATTGACTTCTGACGTAGGTGCATTAAAACCGCATGAATAAGATCTTGGTATAAATAAAAAATAGCTTAAA